TTTTTTTTTTTTTTTTTTTGTTACTACAACAAGCATTGTGTGTGGGGGGGATAACCTTTGCATATTTGTGCATTTCTTTTAGATGCTGTCATAGAAATTAAATTGTTAGACTGAAAGGTATGCTTTCCAAATAGGCTAGCCCAGTTAATACTACAGTATAAGAGAATGCTCTTTTCCCCACATTTTTACCAACATGGAAAGTTACCTACAGCAGATTTAATGTCTTACAAATGGAGAAAGACCAATTAGCTATTAATTTAATTTGCATTATTCTCAATAGTGAAGTTGGCTCTTTTTTATTTGCTTTAGTATTTTTTGATAGATTTTATTCTGTGACTTTTATATTCCTTTTACTCATCTTTCAGTTGCATTGTCATTTTCATATTGGGTTTAAGAAATTGTATTATTTTTCACTTGTATTTATTTAAGCTTTGCCTTTTCTAGACTAAATTAGAGATGGCTCTTTTTCTAAAAGACAACTTTATGTTAGTAAAAGTTATGCTAAAATTCAAGATGTCTGTGAAGTGCTTTTTTTTTTTTTGCAGATGCTTGTAACAAATACCAATAATAAGCATAATACAGAAATCTTCTCAAATTGATGGTATTTATCAAAAGTTATTGTAGTGCTTATTTTTCCCCTCCTCACTTGAAGGCCTGAGTCTTCATGGTCTTCTTGTTTTGGACATAGTATTTGTGAAGCTGCCTATACATTTTCATTTACCATAATGAAGGTAAAAGTAATATAGTTAATATATATAGACTCACCACTTAGGTTTTTTTTTTTTTCTTTTCTCTCAGTATTCCCAGAGAAACATCACCTTTTTTAGCTAATCTCCTTTTGGGTTTGCTTCAGAGAAACCAAAAAGATAGGATGGACTTTGGTAAGTAATAGTTTTACATTTTGCATGCTTTCTGATTTTATTTTTATGTGTTTTGAAAAGATTAAAAATGACTATAGAGATTTCAGAGGAAAATTAAAGTCAGATTCACTTTTGTTTTTATTTTCTTTCACTATTTTTGTAAATGTTTATTGAGTGTTTATTATGTTCTAGGTGTGGGAGTAGAGTAATAAAGAAAATCCCTATCCTATAGTGTTTATTCTAGTGTGAGAGAGACCTAATAAATTATAAATTGCAATTATGTATTTTAGTAGAAGGTGCTAGGTACTGTGGGAAAATGTAAATAAGGAGGAGACATGGAGTAGGGAATGGAAATAAGATAGTCAGTGAAGACCCTATTGAAAAAGTGGCATTTGAACAAAGAATCAACTTGAAATGAGGGTGAGCTGTGTGGATATCTGTGGGAAGAGCTTTTCAGGCAGCACGAATAGCTAGTGCAAAGGCTTACAACTGGAAACATGCGTTGAAGCTTAAGGTCCAGCTAGAAGGCCACTTAAACATGGGTTTTCCCGCAGAGTGTAATTTGGCTGCTGCTTGAAAATAGATTGTCTGATGGAAAAATCAGAAGCTGGGAGAGTAATTAGGAGCGTGTTGGTGAGAGGAGGAAGTACCTTAGACTTGGGTGATAGTATTGGAAGTTGTAATAAGTTGTTAGACTCTGGATCCATTTACTAATAGATTCCATGTGGGGCATGAAACAAAAAGATTAAGGATGACTCCCAAGTTTTTGGCCTGAGCAACCGAAAGCATGGAGCCGTCAACTGCAGAGATGGGAAAGGCTATACATAGAGCAGGCTATGGGAGCCAGAAGAGGAATTCCTGTTGGACATTAGCTATCTTAAGTGCAGATTTCAGAAGGCATTTGAATTTCAGAGGAGATATGTATGCTGGGGAGAAATTTGGGAGATGTCAGCCAATGGATGATATATATTTTAAAAATTTTATTTATATGTTTTTTTAATGGCTCTGGAGTTTCAACTCAGGGCCTCACACTTACTAGACAGGCACTCTTACTGCTTGAACCACCCTGCCTGCCCTTTTTTGTAATGGCTTTTTTTGAGATAGGGTGCCTTGAACTGTTTGCCTCAGGCTGGCTTCAGACCTCTATCCTCCTGATCTCTGCCTCCTGAGTAACTAGGATTGTAGATGTGAGCCACCAGTGCCCAGTAGGATGATATTTATTAAACAGATTATTTTCTAGTTGCACCATTTAAATTTCTTTATTGATTTTTTTTGTTTAAAAAATTATTTTTGCATTATTTTCTTGATGGTTGCTCCAGAGATTATAATGTGCATCTTATCAAAGTCTGTTTCATATAAATAATAGTTGAATTCCAGTAAAATATAGAAACTTTGTTTTCTTATGTAGCCCCATTCCTTTCTCTGTAATGTGTGTGCTGTAATTGTCACATCTATGTTGTAATCTCAACAATTCACTATCATAACTATTGCTTTACATAATTTTATGTTTTTACAGACATTAAGGGAAAGAAATCTTTATACTATAATGTGCTAATAAATAAAAAGTCTTTTATAGGATCTTACATTAACCTATATATATATTTACAACTCTTCTCCTCAT